ACACACCGATCTTTTAAAAAAATACTGCATACATAAAGGTTCAAAAACATCAAACAATACTGCAAGGCAATAGAGTAGAAGGAGCAAATGCCTTATTTTAAGACAAGAGCATGGCTAAACCACTTAGTAATCAAAAGGCCTCAAATAATTTAAGTTTCCATAAATGTTTAAAATTCTACATAATGACCTGTCTCACAGAGTTGTCAAGAGGACTTAAATAATATTCATTCACTTCAATCAGTAAGCAACTGTTATGTCCCAAGCCTTGGAACACATCAAACAAAACAAAGTTCACGCTCACCTTATGTTCTATTTGATGAGGGAAATGGAACACATATGCACTACATAGTTAGACAAATGAAATCCCTTCAGTAAAACAGAACAAGATAACAGTGTCCAGAATATAGAAGGTGCTCATGTTTCTTCATTCTTAATGGTGGTATATATATATTCTTCTGTTCAATGTATCATTGTCTCTGTTCTTGGTGAATTTTACACAAATCAATGTTAAAATAAATATTTTTTCACATTAACCTTTATCCTTGATTCCAAATGGAATGAACAACAACAATATTAAGGTTGATTCCATCAGAATAAAATAACCCAATCCTGGAGATAGAAGGACTTTGCAGCTGTCAACCTGGAAGTCTATGGAAACACACACAGTCTATGGAAGTTTAGGATCCACTCATGACTATACCTATAATTCATTGTTCAGTAGTCAGAAAACATTGTAGTACATTCTGAATCAGTAAATAATATCTTCCTCCCACCAACCTTTATACCTGAATATGGATATTATATGTTCCAATTCTGCTAGTATTTATCAGTGAGACCAGTCTTGGATCACATGATTAGGATGCTACACAAACACAGAACGTACACACACACACACACACACACACACACACACACACACCCCCTAAGGATATTTAAGCATCTCATGAATGGCATAAGATTATATCACATCATATGTGATCATTTGGAGGTTTTCTTTTATTAAGTAGGAATAATAAATAAATAATTTATTTCTTTTAAAAAAAATTGCAATATTATACAGCTATATATAGTAGAGGCCCTTTACTATGTATCACAACTATTGTCTAACTATTTAATCAAAAACTCCATTAAAGTAGAAATCAGGGGGAAAAAACAAATCAAGAGGTTCACTAAAGGTTTTAACTTAAAATATAAAATCCAGGTTTATTCACCAGCCTTTTGATACAGTGCCAAGGCCTTATCTTGCAAGGCAGATATGCTGATTACACCAGTGTGCTTTTGCCTAAAACAAAACCCATGTACATCAGCTATGATTTCAAGTTTGAATTTCTTTAAAGTGACACAAGAAACTGAAGGCATCCAAGGGCAAAATCCTTCCAATCTCGTATACTTTCCTGGCCTATGTGTAATTCAAATATACATTTGTTTAGGAATTCATCTTTATGAAGTCTAACCAAAGCACTCAACTTTGTTTACACTGAAACAACTCTTGCTTTTGAATTGCACACTTTCCTGAATTATGTAATAATTAAATTACATAATTACAATTAAGTATAACTGTCATAAACAGATTTGTTTAAAAATATAGCCAATTCTTGTTAAGTCCACGACTTAGCCTGTTAGGAGCAGAAATAGTAGTAGGGAATTTTCATCAGTATGTAGCAGTGTGCTACTGGCATTTTAAAATATATTTTACAGAGAAATAGAGGATATTAGTGAAACCAATGAGTTGTTTGAGAACTTCCAGAAAAATGTTTTAAATATTAGACTGCTTAACATTTAAAGAAAGTTAAAAAATAAAAAATTATCGATAGCAAAGAATCTTTAAAATATCGATCCCTGCAAATTACACATATTTGTTAAATAAATCATAAGCATCTATAAATAATTCGATAGTAAAAAGCTGCAGGTAGATGTCTACATATTCTAAGATAGACTTATTTTCAATTGATTCTCTCACAAACATACAATTGTCAATATGTATTATGATCTTACCTAACATCCCTTAAAAAAGTAACTTTTTTTTTTCTTGAGACAGAGTCTCACTCTGTCGCCCAGGCTGGAGTGCAGTATTGAAATCTTGGCTCACTGCAACCTCCGCCTCCCCAATGCAAGCAATTCTTCTGCTTCAGAGCCTTCTGAGTAGCTGGGATTACTGGTGTCTGCCACCACCCCCAGCTAATTTTTGTATTTTTAGTAGAGATGGGGTTTCACCTTGTTGGCCAGTTTGGTCTCGAACTTCTGGCCTCAGGTGATCCAACTGCCTCGGCCTCCCAAAGGGCTGGGATTACAAGCGTGAGCCACCGTGCCTGGCCCAAAAAAATAACTTTTGAAATACTGAATTAACAATTAAAGAAGTTGGAAACAACTGATTCAAGTATACAGCTTTGAGATTACATGTCGGTTTTTCTCTAAAAGAACAGCTCTTTCTTTGAATTTTTTTTTTACATGAAATCTTTCCATATCATCAGTTACTCCTTTCATTAAATAAACAAAACTGTAACTTCTGGCTAAACCACTGCATTATCTCTATACCAGAACCACCAGTAAATAGGAAGTAAGATTCATTTATGCTGAGTTGCAAGTAACCTATGTATACATTGGTATGAACTGTTGTGTTTATAATTTGTATATGCAATATAAATTTAGTGCCAAATCTTGAGATTCAACATTCAAATTGAATCTTGAGATTCAATTTCAATTGATCAGTAGATGGAAATTGAAGAGTCAGAAGCTTTAAAACCAAATATCTCTACATAAGTTGCCAAATAAGTTCTTTAAATTAATTTTCAGTTATTTCCTAAAGTTGAATTTTATTTATTTTTTTTTGCTTCCCCATCCTCAGTCCTGAATTTTATTTTTGAAGAGAAAAATCATGCAAGAGTTATTTATTCCACAAAGAATGTGTAGCCTCAGAAATTTCAACAGACATCAGATTATTTGGTGTTCCATGATTATGTTTTATTTTGATCTTAATTAGTAAAAACACATAAACCATGGGAAATTCTTAATCATTAGATTGACAGCTTATTTGCAAATACAGATCACAAAATCTAATTATTATACCTTGCAACATGTGTGCTATATTTAACAGTATAAGATAGTCTTTTAAAAAAAAAAAAGTTCAGAGACAAAAGTAAGGATCCATATAAATAGGCATAGCATATTACATTTAAATACCAAGTCCAATTATGTAGGCTGTAGTAAAGTGAAGAAAACAACTAAATTATTCAAGTAACTGCACATATTAATATATACATATTTTCACTTATACATATATATTGTTGAACACAAAACCAAGTGCTGGCCGATTTATAAATATTTAAAATTACGAAGTGCTAATCCATCAGTGGCCTCATTTCCATTTCTACTCAAATAAGCAAAGAGAATAAAAAACTGGTAATTTCTAATACCAGGACATAGTAGATATGAATATATATTTCTGTTTAAAATGTAAAAGCTCCTTCTTCATTCTTTTACGTAACTGGTATTTTTAAAAAGAAAGTATGCCATACTTTCTTTTTAAAGAAATATGTATGATGAGAAGGAGCTTAAATTTATAAAGTTTTTAATGGTAATGGCATTTTCTATCAAAATTTAAAAGGCAGCAAAAAAGAAGATAGGAGAGTCTAGGAAGTGCAGGGGAAGGTGGGGGAATAGGGAGAGATTTGTTAAAGGATACAAAATTGCGGCTAGACAGGAGAAGTAAGTTCTAGTGTTCTATATCACCGTAGATGACCATAGTAATAATAATATACAGTTTCAAATATTGAATAAGAGAATATTGAACGTTTTTAACACGAAGAAATGATAGATGTCTAAGATGACAGATATGCTAACGACTCTGATATGATCACTATACAATGTATCAAAACATTGCTATGTGACCCATGAATATGTTCAATTTCGTCAATTTTAAAAAATAAATTTTTTTTAAATTTAGTGTATATGAAAATTTATACTAACAAGCAATTATCCCAAGGTATAAAGTGATATATCAATGAATATTACATAATTATTTTTAATAACTAAAAAGCAGTCATTCTAAATGTTCCTCAATAAGGAACTGAATAAATCATTATATCCACAAAACAAGCACATTTCAAATGAGATAGAAAGATGTCTATGTACTAAGTGAAAAAGCAAGTATCAGAATGACTTGGATAGTAAGTCTCATTTTTTCAAATTTTCCTAATAAAAATGTGTATGTGCATGCTTGAATATGTACACATATTAAAATATGCATAGAAAACAGTTATAGCACATATCAAACTTGCAGAGAGGTTTTTCTTTTTATTTACAGTTATTTACTCCCTAAAATTAAAAAAAAAAACATAATCATAGAGAACATTTTAAACTGTTTTAACCAAATATTTGAAAACTTGAAGCATTTTTTTTCTAAGTAATTTTCCTTTCCTCTAATATTTGCTAGTTACTATATCCAAGCTATGTTTATCCTGAAACATATTAATTATTATCCTCTCAAACTTTAAAGAGCATTATATTTAACTTTGCAGGATTACACGTAACAGAAATACTATGATACAAAATAATCCTCATTCTATTCAAAAATTTAACTTTTTAATACTTCACCCCAAATATTCACTCTTTTAAAATAAAACAATGGAACATATTTTTAAACAAAATTAAAATGGTTTATATAGTAACAATTCAGTATCTTATTTTTTGTTTGCATATCCTATAGGTGTAACTAACATATTCTCAATAACACTTCAAAAATATTTTGCAAAGATCATCAGTACTATTAAGTGCATTAAAGTTTTATCTTGACTTACAGCATAAATATTTCTCCAGCTATATTTGAAGCAAAAATTTTATTATTAATAAAAGTAGGCCAACTATATACTTCATTAAACATTTTAATACTTAAAGTTGATTTTCAAGATATTCATGATCACTAGCATTCACACTTATAAAAATAGTTTTACTTTCCTAAAATACTTTTTTAAAGGACAGAAGGAAATACGTTTTTACTTTACCTAGTTGTTGGTGTTCGTATTTGCCATAATTACAATGATAGAAATTAGTTCCACCTTGCTCATCTATCGTCTTCTCTGAAGAAAGCAAACTAAGACGTTTCATCTTAACTAACCTTGGGGAACTTTCCTGAACACTAGTATCCAAAACCACATCTCCCGAAAGAATGGGAGGAACAACTCTCTTTAAAAAATCCATTTTAAGGTTCTTCTACATTACTAGACCCACAAGCACACAGAAAGGCGTCTATACCAACTTCCTTGATGAGAAGTCAGGTACACTATGTGTGTCAAAGAGCAAATAAACGTCATGTGAATTTAGGCGGTGCTAAACCCCAGTTGGTCAATGGCCAGCTGTTTTGAGGCTGATTTTTAGGACATTTACTGTTCATGCTGATAACAAACCAAACAGCTACAGACCATGAAACTGCACTTCATGTGGGCATACACGTACAATGGGTGCTAACAACAATACTGAGTCTATGAAATGTTGAGCATCCATCTAGTTTAACATGTAGATTTTGAGAACTTTCACTGTGTAAAGAGAAATTTACTTTGGCCTGAGGTGTGTGTTCCTTTTAAATAAACTTAGGGCTGACATGTAAAACACTAACTTGTATTCAAAAGATAATTCTTATCATTTTGAAAATTTACTAACAGACCTCAGGAATGTCAACTTTTATAAAACATAAAAAGGAATCACTTAAAACTTTATTCTGTATTATGAACATTCTAAGGTTACTTTAAAATGCCCACCCCCCCAAAAAAAAAAAACCCTCCCTATTACAATCAGTGGTATTTATCAATAGTAATGATGAAAACTTTTGCAGGAATAACCAAAAACAATGATTAATTTTAAATATATGGATCTAAAAACATAAAGCTGAAGAATTTAAAGTATAAATACTTAAATTCAATATAAAAACAGTCATCAACATTATATGATTTTCAAAATAATTGAGCACTCTACAAAATATTTTAAAATAGCAAAAGTAGCCAACTCTACTGCCTTAATATAATTCAGAAGTATAACAAGAGAGTCCAATAAAAGAATATCTACAAGACTTTGAAAACTGAAAGTACTATCTCCTTTTCTCTCTTCCTTTGCCTGCCCTCTGGTGGGGTTAAGTGAGCAAGAAGGAAATCTAAAAACAAAGGTAACAAGAGTAAAGCCTCTAAGGCAAACCGCCATGGCAGGTGTTTACCTATGTAACAAACCTGTACATTCTGCACATGTACGCCAGAACTTAAAAGTATAAACAACAACAAGAACAACAAGAACAAAACCCTAAGCAATCATATCTCTTTGAATGATACATAATTTTTTAAATCTGATTAACTCAGTGAAACATAATATAATCTCATTCTGCCAATACTCAACATGAAGAAAATGCTTTGCATAGTATTTCGAAAGATGAAGCACATACAGTCTACATAGATATCAGGAAAAAATGGTTATAATAGAAAAATGGGTACATTTCTGGTTCTCCATTACTTTTTTTTT